GATGTCCACACTAGTGGTCCAGAAGCCCCACCTCTAACAAAACTTGGTTGATATGCGCGAAGTTGACAAAGTCCGCTTTCTTGACTCGCCCATATCCCAAGCTGGTCGGCGACACAGTCTGCGAATTCACCCAGGAATTCGAGCCAGTGAGAGAGCAGTCCGATGGGTGATGTCTAATCGGCGGCCCGTAAGCCCGCTCCGCCCGCCGTGCCATCCATACCTGCTCCTCGCCGAAGGCGCCCGCCTACGAGAGCTGCACCGCACTCGCCTCTGGCGAAGCGAGCGCGTCGAGCACCTCGGAAGCAGGCCACTCCCCCTGCCTAGAACGCAGCTAAGTCTGGCAACGGACCGCGAAGCGTCCCTGGGACAGGTCATCTGGAGAGGAGGGAACTTGCTCTTTCCCCGCTGGAGGGCGGGGCGCCATTTCCAACGGCACTTTTTACTGCCATGAAATGAAAGGGCACTTTTCCACTTCTCCAGAGGTGACAGCCAGAAATCTGCCAGTTTGAGCTCAGCTCTCTAGCTCGTAGGTTCGGTGCACTCCGCCAGTGGCTCACGGGCAATGCAGGCCCTGCCAGCCTGGGACACGCCGCCTCTCAGCTTGCAAGGTCTGCATGCTCCGCCAGCGGCTCAAGGGCGCTGGGGGGACGGTCTCCCTTCTCCCAGCCCCCAAGCCCCCCCTCCGGAGTCAGGGTGCGGAGCCAGAGCGAATCGCTCTCCTCCAGCTCTTCTGTGGGACCCTCGCGCTCCCCGGATCAGCACACCCGCTCCGCGCTGCCCCTCCGCGGGTATGACAACGATTGCTGCGATGACGTCATTAGCGAGGGCTCTGCCTGCCTGGTTAGCGCGGGCCAGCCCCTCGCGGTGGCTCATACGCACGATCAGACTCGGCTACGAACTACAGTTCTCCAAAAGGCCTCCCAGGTTCACGGGCGTGTGTTTCACCAGGGTCAATCCCCTGTCCGCCCCTGTCTTGCGAGAGGAGATTGCTGCCCTCCTGGCGAAGGGTGCAATCGAGCCGGTACCTCCAGCAGAGATGGAGAGCGGGTTTTACAGCCCGTACTTCATCGTACCCAAAAAGAGCGGTGGGTCACGGCCAATCCTAGATCTGCGCGTTTTGAATCGCTGCCTTCACAAGCTGTCGTTCAGAATGCTTACGCAGAGGCGCATCCTCCGATGCGTTCGTCCTCAGGATTGGTTTGCAGCCATAGACCTGAAGGACGCGTATTTTCATGTCTCCATTCTTCCACGCCACCGTCAGTTTCTGCGGTTTGCGTTCGAAGGTCGAGCATGGCAGTACAAGGTCCTCCCCTTCGGGCTCTCTCTGTCTCCGCGGGTCTTCACCAAACTCGCGGAGGGTGCCCTAGCGCCTCTGCGGCTTGCGGGCATCCGCATACTCGATTATCTCGACGACTGGCTGATTTTAGCCCACTCTCGGGAGCAATTGACTGCGCACAGAGACGAGGTGCTCCGACATCTCCGCCTACTGGGGTTGCAGGTCAACTGGGAAAAGAGCAAACTCGCCCCGGTGCAGAGGATCTCTTTTCTCGGGATGGAGCTGGACTCGGTCACCATGGTAGCGCGCCTCTCCGGAGAGCGCGCTCGCCTGCTGCTGAACTGTCTGAGGGAGCTCAACAGTAAGCTAGTGGTCCCACTGAAATATTTTCAGTGGCTCCTGGGGCATATGGCTTCCGCTGCGGCTATCACGCCGCTCGGATTGCTCCATATGAGACCACTTCAGCACTGGCTTCAAAATCGAGTTCCGAGACGCGCATGGCATGCGGGCACACACCGAGTCTCTGTTACTGCGCTGTGTCGCCGCACCCTCAGCCCCTGGAACGACCCCTCATTCCTGCAGGCCGGTGTGCCTTTGGGACAGGCGTCCAGTCATGTTGTTGTTTCGACAGATGCTTCCAGCACAGGCTGGGGAGCCGTGTGTCGCGGGCATGCAGCTGCGGGCCTTTGGGTAGGTGCCCAGCTGCATTGGCACATCTATCGCCTAGAGCTGTTGGCAATGTTCCTTGCTCTCCGCCGTTTTTCTCCGGCGCTGGAGCAGCAACACGTGCTGGTCAGGACGGACAGTACGGCGGCGGCGGCGTATATCAACCGCATGGGGGGTATGCGCTCTCGCCGCATGTCTCAGCTCGCCCGCCGTCTGCTCCTCTGGAGTCACCCGTGGCTGAAGTCGCTGCGCGCCATTCACATCCCAGGTATGCTCAACCGTGCAGCCGATGTGCTCTCACGGCAGCAGATTCACTCTGGAGAATGGAGACTCCACCCCGAGTCTTTCCAGCTGATATGGGCTGTTTGCTTCCCCCGAGAACGCTCATTGCCAGTTGTTTTATTCCCTGACCGAGGGCTCTCTCGGCACGGATGCACTGGCCCACAACTGGCCTCGGGGCATACGCAAGTATGCGTTTCCCCCAGTGAGCCTGATCGCGCAGTTAATGTGCAAGGTCAGGGAGGACGAGGAGCAGGTTCTGTTAGTTGCGCCCCTCTGGCCCAACCGGACCTGGATATCAGAGCTCTCCCTCCTCGCGACGGCCCTCCCTTTGCAGATCCCTTTGAGAGAGGACCTACTTTCTCAGGGACAAGGCACCGTCTGGCACCCTCGTCCCGATCTCTGGAACCTCCACATGTGGTCCATAGACGCGAGGAAGACTTAGGTAACCTGCCGCCCGCGGTGGTTGATACCCCTCTACGAGGCCCGCCTACGCCCTGAAGTGGAGTCTATTCACTGAGTGGTGTGTCTTACGCAGAGAAGACCCCCGATCTTGCCAGATCAGTGTTGTGCTCTCTTCCTTCAAGAGAAGCTGGATAGTAGGCTGTCGCCCTCCACTCTCAAGGTTTACGTTGCTGCCATCTCCGCTCACCATGACGCGGTGGCTGGCGGCACCGTGGGAAAGCATTACCTCATCATCCGGTTCCTCAGAGGCGCTAGGCGAATTAATCCAACTCGCCCCCCTCTCACGCCCTCTTGGGATCTCGCCCTCGTTCTCACGAGCCTGCGATTTGATCCCTTCGAGCCACTCGATACAGTATCTTTAAGATTTCTGTCCCTGAAGACAGCTCTGCTGGTCGCGTTGGCCTCCATTAAGAGGGTCAGGGACCTGGAGGCATTTTCGGTCAGTGACTCGTGCCTGGAATTCGGGCCGGGATTTTCTCACGTTATCCTGAGACCCGGGTTATGTGCCCAAAGTTCCTACCACTCCCTTTAGAGATCAGGTAGTAACCCTGCAAGCGCTGCCCCCGGAGGAGGCAGACCCAGCCCTGTCCTTACTTTGTCCAGTCGCGCTCTGCGCATTTATGTGGACCGTACTCAGAACTTTAGATCTTCTGAGCAGCTCTTTGTCTGTTATGGCGGACGGCAGCAGGGAAGTGCCGTGTCTAAACAACGTTTATCCCACTGGATTGTGGAGGCCATTTCATGTGCTTATTTGAGCAGAGGTCAGCCGCGCCCCCAGGGAGTGCATGCGCACTCCACTCGGAGCGTTGCATCCTCTTGGGCGTGTGCGCGTGGCGCTTCTTTAACAGACATTTGTAGAGCTGCGGGCTGGGCGACACCCAACACATTTGCAAGATTTTATAATCTGCGAGTGGAGCCGGTTTCCTCAAGGGTGTTAGGTACCTTTGGTGATTGAGGAAACAACTCGGTAGGTGTTGTACACGCTTGCGGTGCCTTTTTTCCCTAACGCGGAGAGATATGCACCCTCCTGTCTGTCAGTAAGTTCCCCATTCGGTGAGCCCTGCAGATTCCTCCGAGGCCCCCAGCACTGACTCAGCGGAGGAGTCACTTGCTGGCCCATTACGTTGTAGGTCTGCCCGCTGGTCAGCCCGCGTTTTGGGTATAGGTGCCTGCTATGGCCGATCCCCGCTGGTGATCCCCATATGCTTTTCCGCCACGGTTAAGTTTCCCCCCTGGGCGGACCCGTGCTTTCCCTATCTGCTAACCACCTTTTATGCGCACTCCCCCTTTTCAGGGTTAGTCCATATGTAATTCCATTTGTTCCCCCTATTGGGTGCGGATGGTCTCCGCAGCGTCCTCCCTACTGGGATGGCACGCTTCCCAACGTACTGTCGTGTATTCCTAGAATTATCTAGATGCTAGCGACTCCCAAAAAAGATACCTATTCCGTAAAACTTCTTTTGAAGTGGGATAAGTTAGGGCCAAGGGCACGTTGGAGGACCACGCCTCTCATGATCTGGGCGCGTCACGCTTGCCTGACCGCTCTCTCATGGTGGGTGTTGGTAAGGTGCAGTCATTGTGGCGCTTTCAATGGGCTCCCATACGTGGATTTAGAACATCAAATCCACTTATAGTGCTGGAGTTCCCCTCGAAGGGGAACGTTCGAGGTTACTAAAGTAACCCTTCGTTCCCCGAGGAGGGGAACGGAAGCACTATACTCCGTCGCCATAATGACTTTCCCTTAGCTGTTAAAAGTCTCTTCAGCTTAAAAAGGATAGCGTCTGCTGGCGCCAGGTGAGCTTATATACTCAGTTGATTGCTTATGCCGCTCACCTGCGCAGGCTTGCGCTGCCAATTCATTCTTAATTGGCCCGTTCAATACTCTTTCAGACGAGTAGCTTCTGAATCGAACCTCCCATACGTGGATTTAGAACATCAAATCCACTTATAGTGCTTCCGTTCCACTCCTCGGGGAACGAAGGGTTACTTTAGTAACCTCGAACGTTTTGTGTGAACTCTTTGTGTGATCCCTTTAAGGCAGGTGATGAAATATTTGGAGGCATGCCTCCTTTTATAATTGAAATGTTTTATAAAGTTCAAATGAATTTGTACAAATTAGTACAATTTGTACAAATTATTTTTTTGACAATATGTAAAAAAATAAATAAAAAAATAATAAAATGTAAATGCTTTCATGAAATTAGGCTTGCACAGCTTATGCACATGTCTACTGTGATTTATAGTTTTATATCTCACTTAAAATACATTAGGTGTTGTTAGAAAGACTCACGGGAGGTGTAGTTTTATCACTCACCTGTTGCTGTTGTTGATACTGTAGAAGCTGTTGCTGCTGGTATTGGTGGATATGCTGTAGGTGCTGGATCTGCTGTAACTGGTTCTGATACTGATGCTGTTGTTGTTGTTGGGACAGAAAGTGAGTTGCTGTGTTTGGATCATAGCCACCTTCATTCCCGACTGCCATGACATATGAACCAGTGGCAGGAGATGCCACACCTGACTGTTCATTACTAATTGGCTCCCACGCATCAGAGGAAGAAAGGCAGTAAAGACCCTGGGAGACATAATTGTGGGGCCACACTTCTGCAGAGGAATGGTGCATCTGGTCTGTAAGAGATACACAAAAATAAAAATTTTACAGCTTTATGAGTAGTGGGATATTTTATTTCAGATCTGAAATTATTATTTTTTTCCACACAGCCTGTGCTATAGATTATTGCATGGCTACAAACTCTTAAATAAATATGAAATATTGATCTGACATGGAATTCAAGTGTTTTAGTGATTATTACAGAAGTATTTTTTTCACATATTACATCATGTGAAATTACATATTAATCAAAGTCTTTGATGATTAATATGCAAATGGATTAGTCAAAAAGATCTTCAAAGTAAAATGCACTTTAATAAAAAAAAAGATGTTAAAACACAGCTAACATGAAAGTAAAATTTATTTTCAGATTTCAACATTTAGTTGCTTTTAGATTTGTTGATGCTAATATATTGATCAGATAGCAAATCCTAGGAATTTAAAATTCCTATTCTATTATAGACATTTATTCATTCATTTTCCTTCGGCTTATTTCCTTATTTATCAGGGTTCACCACAGTGGAATAAAATGCCGATTATTCTGGCACATGTTTTACACATGTTTTGCCCTTCCAGCTGCAGTACTGGAAAACACTCATACAGTACACTCTCACATTCACATGCACGCACACACTATGACTAATTTAGTTTCAGTTAACCCATACTGCATGTCTTTGGACTGTGGTTGAAACTGGAACATGGAAAACATGCAATCTCCACACAGAAATGCCAACTGGCCCTGCTAGGACTCAAACCAGTGACCTTACTGTGAGGCAACAGTGCTAACCAGGGGCGGACTGGCCATAAGGGCCAGCAGGACCTTTCTCAGTGACCTGACGATCAATATGGCCTGCCACCATGAATCTGGCCTGGCACCACCCCCCATCATCCCACCAATCACTCTGTGCCCCCCGTCATTCTTCTCCACTGAGTTCCTTTCTTGGCTTTTTTTCTCTATAAACCTTTATAGCAGCCTCCTAACTGGAATAGGATCTGGTAAATTATTGATTTGTGTTCTACAGTATTGGAAGTATTGTCTTACAAGATAATAAGCAAAAATAAATGTATAAACATTTGTCTTCCATTTTTATCACTATGATATAATACAATAGTAATGTCACTACATTCACCTCTTTCACACAGATGTCAGTTCACCTGCTCACAGTCCCCTAAATACTAATTAACAACACCTGTGCATTCTCTTATCAGTTTCTTTAATAACACTCCTCCAATTATTTCCTGGTCATTTTGGCTGTTTCTCAATTCCAAAAACACAGAGAACAGACTTGCATCCTTGTGAAGACTAGGAAGAATGAACTCGGGAGACCGCGAGGTCAGAGAACACGTCCTGTGATAAATGAAATGCTTTCTTCCCTGGTTCTTCCTGATGGTCAAATGACCCTAGCTTTAACCAAAAATGATTTAAACATTACATTATTCATTCAATCATTTATTGTTTTTACCCTTTTCACAATACTCTGCATAAAGGCTTTACAAATATATGTTGCACAATATAAATAAAACAGATTTTAATACAGATTTTAACAAATAAGAACCCTTAATGTGTTCACGCCTCTATTAAGATTTCAATGTTTATATTCACCAATTCATTTAGGGAAACTCCTGAGATAAATAAGTTATATCTCTGAACTTTAATAATAAACCTATTTAAAATGCTGCGCTTCCCACCTGCAGTCGCAATCTGCATCCATGCATCCTCAACATCAAGAATATCTCTGTTCTTGCGGTCTTAAAGATTCGAACTGAACTTTGGCAACTGATGATGACGTTACACGAAAACAAAAGGACACAAGATCACTGAAGAACGCATATTGAAAAACAGCCTAGGTCTTCTGGTCTCATTGTCTTTTGCGTTCCATAGACCCTTACACCAACCAAAAAAAAAGATATTCAAATAATACAAGTATATTGTATTTTTACATGCTCTGAACTGTTGTTTATTCACTGTTCAATAAACATACTTGGTTTTGCATTAATTCAGTCATGTGTGTGTGTGTGTGTGTGTGTGTGTGTGTGTGTGTGTGTGTGTGTGTGTGTGTGTGTGTGTGTGTGTGTGTGTGTGTGTGACAAAAGATTGGATCATGACTGCTCATAATGGATCCCTCTCCATCTGCACCCCCGAACCTTTTCACAAAACTGGTCACTGCCCTGAAAGCTTTACTTATCACCATACAGCTACTGTAAATGTATGCTTCTGATAAAGTGGGCTTCCTCACTTCTCACCAAAAGATCATTGCTGAGGGCAAAGTCAATATGGAATGCTAATAGTGCCGTAATCAACTACTATGTTCAATAACCACTTCTCTGAAGTTTTCAGTAAAGCCTCTGGAGTACTCTCGATCTTTTAACCACTCTTTCATCTCTGCCAAGGATACTCCAGTATCTGAGGTCCCGTTCACACAAATACATTTTAGTTTTAAAACTGTTTTAGAATGAACATGATCCATGTCCATGCTGGCATTTCATCTAGCGTTTCTGAAAAGATCTCCGTCCACACTATGCTGCTGAAAATGGACATCACGTGACTGCACACACACACTCTGGCATGAGCAGCAACATATGCAGAGGTCTGGGTTCCAGGCAGTCAACTCATGTCAAAGCAGCTTACATCAGACAGTTCAACAATGATATACTGCTGGATCTTATTTCAATATAGTTGTTAAACATCATGTTTAAGTCATCTGGTCTCTAAAGACTCAACTGGTCTTTTGAATCTATTAGCAACTTGTTCTCAGGTAACACATTTTGGCTGAGCGCAAAGGTAAGTTAATATATTAATTTGTCTAACCACTTATACTAATTCTGCACATTTGACTGATTGCTTGCCTCTATTTTCTATACTGTATAAAGGTATTGTATTTTATACTTTTTAAATGTCCATTATTGATTATTAAAACTTATATGCCTGATATTCAGCAAAAAAGACAGGGTATGTTTCAATGAAAATGAAAGGAGGCAGTTATAGGTTTTGTTTTGTTATAAATATGCATACAGTGAAGATGATGGTCATATATTAAATATGTAGCTACTCGATGCCTTTACATTTTTGTTGTCTGTTAAGTTGTTAATATCAAAATGAAAATAGGCTGTTCCTTATGTTTATCATGTTTTCATTTTATTGTTAAGTTGCAACATTGTAGTCAGGGTGATTTTAATAAGGTTATAAAGAACACTGTTCCTTTTCAAGATTTTCCCGACATTGTGTCCTCGGGAGTTTGTTTTTCATATCAAACTTGCAAAGTCTGAACTTACAAGGAAAGGATGCAAGACTGAACTTTGTGCACTTAATTTTGAGTAAAAGCTCCAAATAGAGAAGAGAATGCTGCAGCAACGCCTCTGTATTTCACGGAGCAGCAGCGTTTTAAAATGAAAATGGGAGGACGGAAGGCTTAACCATAGCTAATTGGGGCCTGAGACTTTACCCTACTATTCCATACCCTGGCAGTGGCTATCAGGTGGAACTAATCTGCTCTCATTAGCACTTACTGACATGGTTTGAATTCACACATCTGCTGTGCTACAGCGATGTACGATGACACCATCTGACAAGAAAATTTCAGAAAAAAGAAGATATCCTCATATCCCAATGACTAGCCACTTGCCATAACCCTGAAACAGCTTGCCAGCTCACCTTTAACACTGCCTGTCCTCCAGTACCAAAACCCTTGCAAGTTGACACTACTCATGTGAGGAGCATGTACAACCCTTGGGGTCAGGATTATTCATTTACTACACCACTCAGGACATTTCCTCAAAAACGGTCTTGTCAATTCCCTGTGAGCACCATTCAACTTAGATCTGAAATAATAATCTTCACCAAAATCCCAGAAGTACAACTCACCCCAGAACATACTGTATCCGTTTCTTCATTTATTGATTCAGGATCCTCTGGCAACTTCAAGAATGCTTATACAGATTACAACTCACACGCCAAACTCATACACAAGAAATCCAGGTTGAAACTATCCAGGGAAAATCACTTGGGCAGGTTAAATACTGTTTTCATTTCTACACATGAAAAATGTATTGCATGTTGAAGCATAACATTTCTGGTTCAGAAGCATCAGTTTTCTGATACTGGGCGCATCTACAGTTGAAGTCATCCTTGAAAACCCCTGGCTGGCACAACAATGAATACTTTCAAAAAACTGTCACTCTTGTATTTCTCCCTCTGGAGTTCTGGGTGCTCCAGTTTCCCCATACAGTCCAAAGACATGCGGTATAGGTGAATTGAATAACCTAAATTGTCTGTAGTGTATGTGTGTGAATGAGTGTTTATGGGTGTTTCCCAGTGCTGGGTTGCAGCTTGAATGGTATCTGCTGTGTGGAACATGTGCTGAACAAGTTGGCTGTTCATTCCGCTGTGGTGATCCCTGATAAATAAAGGGAAATAAGCTAAAGGAAAATGAATAAATTAATAAATGAACTTTCAAAAATCAGGCCAATGAAGTACAGAGTGACTCAAGGATAAGTTTTAGGTGCTTTGCTCATCACAATATGTGTGGTGCCTCTGGGAATATTTTTAGAAGGCACAAGACTAGCTTTTATGGCTATGCAGTAGATAATCACTTATCACATGTTTCAACACAACCCAATGTGAATCTGAACTGTCTAAGCCAGTGGTTCTCAAACTGTGGTACGTGTACCACTAATGGTAAGCAGGCTTCCTTCTAGTGGTACGAGAAGGAATCGCTGAATAATTACAGTAAAAAAAAGAACACACTTTTAACCCTTAGAAACGTACAATAATACCGTTGTGATCAGTAAATTGATTTGAACAGGCTGTGCCCTTGGCAAAGGTAACTTGCAATTCTCTGATGGTACTGTTAATGCTGAAAGTAGTAAGAAATTATGAAGCACAATATGGTGCCTTCTTTCCCAGGGATGCACTTGCATATTTCTATAAGACAATGAAAAACCCCATTCTGCACACATTATATAGTTTTGCAGAGGAAGAGGATACGGGTACTTTACTGGCCTGCATCCTGTCCAGACCTGTCTATAGAGAACAAATGGCTCGTTTTGAAGTGCAAAATGTGACAAGGAAGACCCCGTATTGTTGCACACCATAAGACATTTGCAGGAAGAATGGGAAAAAAAATAATCATAATAAAAATTCATCACTTTGTGTTTTCAATCCCTAAACATCTTTTAAGTGTTGTGAAAAGTTATGGCAACATTACAAAGTGGTAAACGCAATACTGTTCCAACTTTTTTTAAATGTGTTGCAATAACCAAAGTATGAATATATGTTTAATTAAAACAAAACAAAATAAAAATAGAAATCACGAGGAACACATTAATAATAATGTTTTTTTGTATTGTCTGCAATGAAAAGTGAAAGTAAATATAGAAAGTAAATATAGAAATCTCTACTTTTTTTTTCTCTACGTTTTATTTGCATTTTTCACATTATGGGCTCTATTTTGACGGTCCATGCGCTAAACGTAAAGCGCAGGGCGCAAACGCTTTCAGGGTGTGTCAGAATCCATATTAGCTAATTTAAGGACGGCAAAATCCGCTTTGCACCGTGGCTCATGGTCTAAAAGGGTTAAGTTTATTTTCTTAATGAGTTATAGGTGTGTTTTGAGAATAAACCAATCAGAGTCTCATCTCCCATTCGCTTTAAGAGTCAGCTGTGTCGCGGCATAATCGCATTTGCTATTTACAGGACGCAAAGTAAGTGTAAGTGGAAAAACTGAGCATTTCACAAGCAAACAGTTAACAGTTAACAGTTTTTTAACAGAAAACAGTTAGACAGAGCATCTACTGCTCAAGAATGAGAGATAATCGATCTACTTTTACTTTCGCTCTTCTGGATAGGGAAACCTTTACTCACAGACATAAATTAGCCTATAAATCATTAATTTTGTTTGTTAAATATTTGTTTTAAAACTATTTCTAAATTCAGTTGTAATGTCTAAACGAATAAATGAGCAATAATAACGAAGTGTGTTCAAAAACCTGAGTTATATCCTAAAACACATGCTGTGCCCCATATGGTCTAAAACCTGCAGGTGGGCAAATCTAAGCTTGTTTTTAATAAAACAAATATAAATATGGATTTAATAAATAATACTGTTAATAATAATAACATTATACAAAAGCAAATTGTTATGAATGAACTGAAAAAGCCTCCAGAGAAGAAGAAGACATAAAAGCAGGGGTTTTTCATATTTATGTAGGCTAGAAAATAATATGTTTTGTAATATTTTAATCCTTTATATTTATATCTTATACATATTCTTATTATATCCTATATATATCCTTAATATTAAAATTTTTTCATATAAAGATATTTGCGTATTGCTCTACATCTTGTGTGTAGGATATTAAGCAGTGTGTAAGCGAGGCGCAACTCTGCGCTGGAGTTTAGACCGGGTTTGTTTTGGTCTAATGAAAATCTATTATAGTTTCTCAAAATAGCAATACGCCAGCAGTGCGCCTCAGAACGCCTTCCTTTTCAGACCAGAACGCCTATGGGTGCACATATGAGCGCAAATGCATTTGCTATTTAAACAACATGGTGCAAAACAGCAAAACAACACTTGCATCAAGCTGAAACAAGCAAATAACATTTGCGCCCTGCCTTGCGCCGGGTGTATGATAGGGCCCTGTGTCTTTAATTGCCTCACAGAAATGGATCCCTTTAGCAATTAAAGATCTTTTTGGCGATATGCTTTATTACATTTTTATTTTTAACTATATATTTTTATTACAATAATTTTTCAACTATTTCTTTACTTAAGTATGATTTGAATAAAAAAAATTAAATCGCTGTTTGCATATAAACTTTTAAGGTAAATTCCGACATTGATCAAAATGTGTCACTTATAATTGTTATTATTATTTTATTCATATAAAGACTTTTATTGACTTATATTGACTTGTGGCACATGTTGTATCCATAAATATAAGCATTTTGGGAAGGCTGTGAAAATTGTTTAAGTTTTATCATAGCTCTGCCCTAGCATATGACATAATTATTGCATTATCTGTCTGTAACATGTTGTCATTTTGCATGCAGATAGCTTTCATTGTACTGAGCTCTCGTTCAAAGTTTTTGAGGCTGTACTGAACAGTTCAGTGGATTAGTTCCCATTCTCCCGCGAGTCACAGGCCCCTGACCTTTAGATATTCATTTATTCAAAACCCAGTGTGCAGTGCATTTTAAATCTGTGCAGTTGAACAATACCACCCTCTCTCTCTAGGGGGAAAAATTTTTCATATAGAAATCTGATGAAGCTAAATAAGAAGAAACTAAATACATTTTTTTTTTTCAGTTCTTAAGGAATTAGCTAAGGATTTAAACCAAAACATCTACAAACACTCTTTGAGCTGAGATTAAAAGATGAGCTAAGTGGTTGGAAAAAGGCTTTGATTATTCATTATGACAGAGTACTGTGCTCACATTGTGACATGGGAGTACTAGTTCTAAGTTGGTTTTATTCCTGTAAGTTTACACTGTAAAGTGCAGTAAAAAGAAGATGTATAATGATTAGTCAGTACCTCGGCTGGTGATGCTTTCCTGGTTGGCCTCACTTAGGTGGGCTACACTCCCCTGATTGGATCCAATGCTTGTGCTTTCCCCATCCATTGAACTCCAGGCCAGCAGTGTCGCCTCAGAAATTGCAAACTGTTGAAGCACACCTGACAGGATAAAAAAAATTAAGATTTTTTAGATTATAATTGTTGCTCAATAGTATTTAAAAAAAAAAAATTGTGTAGCATTTTAAGATTTATAAGAAATGTAAGTATAAGGTCCAGGTCTTGAATTGTGGTCTCAAGACACGTGCTTTAAACATATGTTAGTTGTAGGTGGTAAGGTACTGCATTAACTGATCACATTTTGTTATCAGATGAAATGCAGGTTAATACCAGGTGGAAACATGGCCCAAAAGAGTGAAGGGCTGAGCCAGTTATGAATTCATGATGTGTATTAAAACATGTTTGCATTTTGTAGATGCTAGTGATGCTACTGCTATTCAACTACTGAATGCAGCAGTACTGTATATTGGCCTCATTATAGCAGATGTTTGTGACGTATTAGTTTAACCCTAAACCCATAAAATTACTTGTAACTTTAATTTTACTGACACAGATAAAAAATATACACTAAAGTTTATAATTTTCTTGTGAGGATTCTTTTCAAAAAGCAATCCATTCTGACTGAATTTAATGACAGATAATTACATAATTAGGTGATTAATTAAGGGTTATTTGGACATTAATAATGGACTCTTGTTAACAAGCAGACTCCCTAAAACACATGCTATATCCTAAAACACATGCTGAGCAGTGGTTTTTCATATTTATGTAGGCTAGAAAATAATATGTTTTGTAATATTTTAATCCTTTATATTTATATTTTATATCTATTCTTATTATATCCTATATATATCCTTAATATTTACATTTTTTCGTATGTAAAGATATTTGCCTATTGCTGTCTTGTGCGTATTAAGCAGTGCATGAGCGAGGCGCAACTCTGCACTGGAGTTTAGACCGGGTTAGTTTTGATTTAATGAAAAATCTATTATAGTTTCTCAAAATAGCAACGCGCCAGCAGTCCACCTCAGAACGCCTTCCTTTTTAGACCAGAACGCCTATGGGCGCACAAATGAGCGCTAATGCATTTGCTATTTAAACAGCGTAGCGCAACGCCTCAAAACGACTCTTGCGCCAAGCTTAAACTACCAAAGACTATTGCGCCACGTCTTGCGCCACGTCTTGCGCCACGTCTTGCGCCACGTCTTGCGCCACACTGCGCCGCGTGTATGATAGGGCCCTTAGGCCTTGTCTATATGGGCATTGGAGTTTAAGGGCCTTCTCACACTATGCTATCCAAACCGTGTCCAGGCCCATTTCCTGGATCATTTGAGAAGTGAGTGCACTGAATCGGGCTCAGGCACGGTACACTTGGATGGACCTGGCCTGGTTGGAAGAGCTGGGCCTGAGCGCGGTTCACTTGGGCTTTGGCGCGGTACGCTTGTAGTGTGAGTGCAAAACGCGCCAAAGCCCGAAGCTGAAAGCAAGACGTGACTTTAAGGGACTGTTTCATATGGATCTATTAATCATTCTTACTGTTCAGTGAACGCAAACTGCCGTAGTTTATTAAAGACGCAAACCCCTCACTGCACGACAGCTGCGCACCTTCAGCAAACCTCCTCATTCCTGCAGCAAGAGGGCTTTATGATTGTTTCTGAGCGCCAAAAGTGGTGGATCTGTTCGGCAAAATATCTGACTGTGTGTCACCACATCCCTAATGACTGTTTGGCGAAATATTTGACTGCATGTCACTGCATATCGAACGACTGAAACAATATAGCTAGAGAAATCTCCACTGTGCTGCTGAGTAAGAGCGCTTCTCACTGAACAGCGCAGGATCGATGCCGTAAGTGTGCCCAGGCCCAATTGTGGTGTGAGTGCGGGCCGTCGGGGGGGGACGGGAGGGGGGACAAGCATGCTTTGGCCCGGTTCGAGGCAACTGTACCTAGTGTTAGTGAGTCCTTAGCCATTTTGGTCACTGAAACCGAAACTTTTAGAAAACTTCTGTCAGGATGAAGAAGTAGTGAGGTGTATTGTATATACAAAATTTACGTTGTTTACAAGACCTGCATCTGTGCAATGTTATATTTAATTCTTTATCAGTATCAGCTGCCAGTATCAGCACTAGTCCATCCTTTTCCCCTATGCCTTTGCTGGTAGCAAATGCCAAGCAGAGGACTAAACTCATTATAGTTTGACAAATAGTGTGCCAGTTGTACAACATAACATACTTTTGATACTTTTTAGGTATGTAACGTATAATTTGATGCTGTTGCCCGACTGACGTCGGAATCAGCATATCAGCAAGTATCAATGCCTTTTTAAAACCTGATGATTTGTTGTTTGGGATGTATTGCATCCATCTTTACTGTCTGTCAGTTCAGTGTTTTTGAGTTCAGGTAAGTGCTCTATACTCTTGTAGGCAGTGATTTTTAACCTCTTTTTGAATGGACCAAGTTTAAAACATGTTTTTTTACACTGTTGTATGGTATGTTGTATGCGTGTTGGTATCTTTCTGTGGCTGTGTTGGATTAGTGGCTTATCACCTTATCAAGTGAATATTTTAAGTGAATATTAAAAAAAATCCCAAAATAAAACCACAATACCAGCAGGACTGAGGTTCCCACATGGTGAATTACAAGTAAACTTGGCACGCACACACCACCGCGCACTCAGATCACACTTTAATGCACTCAGTGTTTCTACAGCACACAATTAAGAAGAACCAAAACAAAACAAACAATTTAAAGAAAATATTAACAAAACAAATTATAGCTGCAAGCAGCAATTAAGGGGCCAAGCAGTCCAGAGCCAGAATGATCAAAGCATTCGAGAGGCCAGAAGCAACAAAGTTAGTGAGTAGCATTCGACCAAGTGAAGCAGTATTTTAATAAATATGAAGTATGTTTCACTTAAAATATCAGAAAATCATGAAAACAATTAGCATTGATGATTTCCTGGTTTATAACTTTTGACCAATAGGCGGCAGATTTATAGTTTGGTGGAAATATATTTAGTATTGCAAAGAGACAACCTCAAATGCAGTTTGTCATTATACTAGCAGATTTGTTGGTGCTGTTAACAAAAACAATTTTGTCTATGGACATAAATTTCACATGATTTGGTCATCATGGTCTGAAAATTAGTACAATTTTGTGATATTTCGGGAAACGGTGTAGAAGGAAAATGTTTTTGAACAAAATCTAAATGGCATAACTGCTATCAATGTTCTGTGCGTAACTCAAATTGAAATCAATTGTACCACAATAAACATATGCAGTCTAAAGTTATTAGCATATTTATGAATCATTAGTAATAGTTACTTAAGGGTTTATACCGAGTGACGCTGTTACCAAATGTATTATGGTTATTTTAAGGTGCCAATGACACACCTAAAGTTCGACTTCGATATGTTTAAAGATTGCTGAATTACAGCCTCAGATGATCTTTGACATTGTACCAGAACATTTTTCAGTAAATGAAAACCTAGCGTCTATCAACATGAATTCCATAAATTCATGGTGGTGCAGGTTAGAATGTTGACCTGCAGTGGTCTCCCAGTTCTTCTTACCACTTTATTAATTGACCCCAATTGGTAAGAAGGCAATACTTCAGGCTGCAATCTACTTCCCACCTCAATCATAAGACCTTCAAATACCTAGCAGACTCAGCCAACATAGGTTCAGATGGGCCAGGAGGTAGGCCCTGACAAAGCTGGACCTTTAGCAAAGATTGATGAACATGTTTAATTTTACTCCATCTTTCACAGGTGTTTTCAGGACTTGATTAGGCAATGTTTTATGTAAAAAGCATCTGTGGAAGACAGAGTGGCCAGTCAACCTGGAATGTTGCCGAGAGTGCAAAAGATCATGTAAGGTTCTATTAAAGAGCCCATATTATTTGTTTTTGAAAATGCCCTTCCATGTAGTGTGTAACACAGCTCTAAGTGAAGTGAAATATCCAGCTAAGGCTTAAATCTGTAAGTGTACAGTGTTTAAAACTATTGATTTATCTATAAAAGAGTCATAGTGAACATACTGTAGTGCTTTAAACGAGTCGTCTTAATAAAGAGCCATAAGGTGTTTCACGATGACATGACTACAAAACACAAGTAGTTGCGCGCGCAAACTCGGGAGATTTGAAACCTGCGGCCCCGCCCACTAACACAGAAAAAAAGCCACACACACACAAAGACACAGGTCGAATGTCACACTGTGCAGATGGATATTATTGAGTCTCTATCCAAAGATGAACCCTTAGCATTATAGCCCTGCCCTGAGCAGTCTGAGTGCTTCTGGAAACTACATGCTAACAAAGAAGACTTCATCGGCCGTTTGTTAAAGAAAGGATCAGTAAAGTCTGTCAGAACATGGATCAGTGCATCAGTTTCTTCCTCCATTTCACAAGTGTAAGTATGTGCGATTAAAATTGTTGCCTCGTATACTCTAGCTTGCAAATTATGTATTTATTTGTGTTTTGTTATTTGTAATTGCGTCTACTGTATCAGGTTAACTCGCTATATTCTCATATCGCGTGTAAAGCCACATTAAAAAGGTGACGCGTGCACCTTTGCTTATGGACAGTCAGCTGTTCCTACATGCATGCAACCATCACACTTCAAAATAGTTCAGCTCTGGTTCGAGGTGAGCTGTCTAATTTGCACCCAGCAAGCTGAACTGGCGCTCTAGACGAATGTGCGTTCTATATGTTTTTGAAAGTTTTGGTGTTGTGTCCTCTGAGGAGGGTAATGTGTTTACCACGCTTTACACTATGAAGCGTATATGCACTGTAACTACTTTTATATTGTTGATTAGCCGCTGGGCATTTCAATCTGTCTCGCACTGAAGGCTGTCAGTGTCGACCAATCACAGCAGGCTGTCATCGGTCCAATCAGCGCAGATTAGCTGTTAAAGGGTCACGAAACACCGAAACACATTTTTTTGAGCTGTTGACAGTCGTATATGTGTCCCACACTGCTAAAAACACTATTAGGACACCTATATTTCACTAAAAAGTGTAAATTGGTTGTTTTTGCGTTATTTCAAGCAAATTCGTACTTCCTGTTTGAAACGAATTTTTGAAGCTGCGTCACGGTCATGACATAATAGCGTTGTATTCCAGCGTGCAGACTGGGCGTCAGTGCTAGAGTGAGTCTTATTACGTCTTACAGTGTGTTGCATTAATGCATGAGTAAGGCTTGGTTCAAACCAATCAGCGTGCTCTATTGTGCAACTTCATTAATATTCATTACTTTCACAGTGTAGACGGCAAAGACGCCACGTTGTGTTGGCAAAACAAGCGTGAAGTGTTGCTTTTATAGTTTGCTGCAGTTAAGTTTTGTTTTCATTTTCTCTCTGTGAGAGCGCAGACTCACGCGTGGATTAACAAGTGTACGTGTTGCGTGACAACAATAACTTACGTGTCTAAGGAGGATTATTGTTTACCTGAGAGCTGTTCTCATCTGCAAATGCTGAGATCCAGATTCGCTTGTAGTCTCCTCTAAATAAAGACGCGGCTCTTGTTGCTGGTGATTGTCCTGTCTCTACAGATTTGGTAAGTGAGCGACTCTTTGTTTATTCAGTTCGTATTTTATTCGTATCAAACAAACTATTGCACCGAGTGCAATTGTTAGCACTAACAGTTACAACCAAACTATAACCTCATGTTGGATTTTGTGACCGGAATAACACACGCGGCTTTCTGACGCTACCTGCCGTGTGTATCTAAGTTTCTGGGAAATGCTGAGTTTTTTTTCTCTCATTCGCCGTGCGGTATCAAACATTGCATGAAAAATACACGCTTAGAGCAGCACCTCGAATCAAATATCACGTTTGTCGGAAAGAGCCAAACTGCAGTTAAAGTCCACCATTTAATAATTTGGCAAATAATTCGACTACAGATGTCCATGTAAACACAGTCACATTGTCTGCTGTGGGTGTGGGTTTTGACTCTGAAATTCAGCGCGCCCAAATAGACACTCCCATACCAAGCCGCTTTTCTTCCTCCGACACTCCCCCCTAAACAGAGCTGGACACGCCCACTTTTCTGACTTTTTCCAAAGTAGAGGTGTGAAAACACACTGCTGAAACGAGGGGGTTTCATGGCCCTTTAAGGAGGGGTTTGGGAACAAATGAATCACTGAATGATTCATATGGGAGTCGCTGGGAAAATTAGGTAAAAGTAAATGCAGATTATAAGATCATGAAAGGTTTTTTTGACCTTGCATGCATATTAGACTGTTGTTGGAGACCCTTACAATCAAAATATGACCCTATTTCATGTATAATAGGGGCTCTTTAAAATGCTCGCACTTACTGTTTCTAGCCAGGTGGTAGAGGTCTGCAGGTCAGATTTCTGCGGCGCGGGAGCGGTCGAAAGCTGGTTTAATTTTGGATGGGAGCGGGCCGTCTAGCAACATCGCTCCCGAGTCCAGAGCGAGCGAGCACGTGTATGTATGTGTGTGAACGAGACAGCGTGATGCTGCTTGGCTTGTTTGTTGCTGTGTGTGTGTGTGTGTGTGTGTGTGTGTGTGTGTGTGTGTGTGTGTGTGTGTGTGTGTGTGTTTACACAGCTTGTTAAAGGCAGTCTGGACTCTGTAAAGCTGGGTGGTTTCAGTTTTGTTCTCCCCACGCTCTTTAGCGGGATGGGGTGCCCTAGTGCCACAGTGAGATCCTCTGCCTAAAGAACTAGACCTTTCTTGGATGCTGCTTTTGTACCTAATCATTCAAATGCACAATCACTTTACAAAATTTGTCTATTACTTTGTCTATTACTATTACTATCACCTATTAACATTACCTTTTTCAAATCACATCCTTATTTAACCAATTTACCTGATTACTAGTCATACAAATGGCTCCTGACCAGAAAAGTCCTGAACTTTTTCTGCAGGTCTAAATGACAGGAAAAGTTGACCAGACAAAACATGAAATATTTTCTGTTTATACTGTCTGCAATGTAAATCCAGTCAAAGTAAATTTAAAAATCACTACATTCTTTTTTTATTATTTCTGTTTTCCATACTGTCCCAAGCATAGAGCATTAAGCTTCACTATGGCCACTTTCTGGCATATATCTACTGGTTTACATAAGGGTAAAGTGAATGACAACAGGTTCTTCTGTGCAGTAGATTGTGTGGTATTCTTTTTCTCTCTTTCATTCTCTTTCTTATAATTTGTTTCTCACCTGCAGCAAAGCGAGCTTCCTTCTCTCCATCACTAAGGTCACTGTATGCATCATTTTCCAGCTTGCGTTCCTGTTGTAGGTGCAGACTCGAGGTGCGTCCCGCTCCTCTGCCCCCCACACCCACTGTCTGCATGCCCCAGCTCTGCCACTCAATCATGTGTGCCACTCGCCCCTGAGCCATTGCTGTCGGTTTTGTCACCTTGTCCTTCATAGAGCGACTCACTCCTGAAGAGAAAGGACAGATAGGATAATTCGGTAAGAAGTCAGCAAGATGATTTGTTTATAATAGGAAGATGGGGGGGATGAGAAGAGAGAACATCGAGTGAAGTACCTTTACAGTATAAACGCACACCTGCTCAAAGGTGGATGTGATATGGCAAACAAAGCAAACAGAATTATTAAAAATGTAAATAATTAAAATTCACAATTAAGAGCTTTTAAAGGGATTACTGAAATTCTATTTAACTTAATATATATATTAACCCTTGTGTGTTTAAATTTGCTCCCTTTCCTTATGTTAGGGGCTGTTGTGCCAACAAATTATCAGTTTCATGCATAAATTCACTAACTATGTTTACTATGCTCTACTATGTTTTTATAGATTTAAAGAAGGCATTTGATACAATAAATCATAATATATTGGTAAATAAATTAGAAAGGTATGGTATTAGAGGAGTAGCCTTGGACTGGATAAGCAATTATTTAAAAAAATAGGCAACAGTTTGTAGAAATTGGCAACCATAAATCATCATATCTAAATGTAGTGAAATGAAGTGTGGCATACCACAAGGATCAGTTTTAGGTCCAATATTGTTTATAATTTACATTAATGATATGTGTAAGATATCAGAGTTGTTTAAGTTTATTTTATATGCAGATGATACAGGCATTTTTTGTTCTGGGCATAATTTACAAAAACTTATGGAGTTGATTAAAACAGAAATTAATAAATTGAAATTGTGGTTTGACATAAACAAGTTGTCATTAAATATAAGTAACACGAAGGTTATGTTATTTGGGAAATAAAAAAAATTGTTAATGAGGTTATAAAAAGAGTATATGGAATGAAATTTCTTGGTGTTATACTGGATCATAAAATTAGTTGGAAACCGCAAATAAATAATGTGATATCAAAATTAGCAAAAACTATAGCAATAGTGTATAAAGTAAGATTTGTCCTTGACAATAAATCATTGCATATTATACAATGTATGTATATATATATATATATATATATATATATATATATATATATTACTATTGACTGATAAAACATGTGGGGTATTTAGAGCATACAAATGCTTTATTTTTAAAATTAAAGATACTTAAGTTTAATGATTTGAAGTTAAAGTTTAAAGTTAAAACAGCACAATTTATGTTTAAAGCTAGGAAGAAACTACTTTCAAAATGCCTAAATGTTTTTTTTTTTTTTTTTGAAGAAAGACAAGGGGGATATAATCTAAGAGAAGAACTAAATTTTAGAAGCTTGAAAACAAGGACAACTTTAAAAAGTTGTTGCATGTCTGTATGTGGTGTAAAACTAAATCTAAGTCTAAATCAGACTCTTAAACAATGTCAAGATATTAATCAGTTTAAAAAAGTTGTATAAATATATATTATTAAAGCAATTTAATGAAGAAGGTGATTGAAAAAGGATAAAAAGAGAAAGCTATGATGAAATTTAATTTCAACAAAAATTATATAATATTTTGCAGTACTTTTTTTTCTCTCTCTGGGTCTATGTTACAAAATATAAATATACAAATGAAATCAAACATATAATTTTGTCAAAGATAAAATATATGTCATGTAAAAAGAAGAGATAAGTTAAAAAAGAAATAAGTTTAAGTAATAGACGAATTATGTATGTGGTGATGGGATGGGAAAATAATAATCTTGTGCTTTATCCCACTTGATTTTCAATCATGTTGAAATGTATTATTTGTTAATGATATTTTATGTATGATATTTTGTTTGAAAATAAATAAATCAAATCAAATCAAAGCTACTGTATGTTCTGAGAGCTAAGCTCACACACACACACACACACACACACACACACACACAAACACACACACACACACACACACACACACACACACACACACACACACACACACACACACACACACACACACACACACACACACACACACTATAACTATACAAAAGGCAGAAACTAAGCTTTTACCTCTTTCCAACAGTGAAAACCACAAACAATCAAGACTACATAATAATATGATGCCGACAATTTGCAAATAAAAATGTAAATGAAATGGAAATCAATGGGTCAAAAACAGCCACTAACATAACAATAGGGTAGTAAATTTTGAGATTTAGAAAAATATCAAAGCATTTCCCCAAAATATATGTCATAATAAGTTTTGTCACCAAAAATAATTCAATTTAACAAAAAACAGATAAAGTTGTGGCCAAATTAAAACTCTAAATTACCTTAAATAATGTAGAAAATATCCTCAGCAGCACACAAGGATTTTGATTGTATTAATTCCTGCTTTATTTTCACGTCTAATATTACTTTTTTAAAAATGGTTTAAAATATATAACTAATTTATTGTTTTTAATTGTTTTATGTAAAATGTTAAAAAAACATATTCAACAGAAGTTCTCAGTGTTTCTGATGGTGATAAACATGAGTAGAATTTAAGGAAAGGAAATGACTCCCTCAATGTGACTTCAAAAATGAGATGTAGATGGTCATGGTATGGAAAAGACAATGGAAAGGAAAGGGGATTTTGGATTAATGAAATTATATCTCGCCACACTCATGTAAATCTGCTAATATTAATAGACTGCACTCTTTCTTGCATTAAATTTAGCTTATTAAAGCTACAATTGACTAAACTCAGTCTTTGTATAACCTTTATTGAGAGGGAAAATAATCTATATTCTTTGTTACTTGAATAGACTCGGAACAGTGCATTACAGTACATACAACATACAGTACAGTACATGCAAAACCTATTCAGAGATTTTTCAAGGTTTCCTTAGGTAATAACTAATGAAATAATGAACATGAATTATTAAAGTTTACGAAATGCATAGTTCAAAGAAGGCTACACACTGAACTTTATTTCACTTCACATAACAATAATACAAAAACACAAATACAATAGCCAATAGCAAACTGACTCAATCTCCACACTACTATACTAGCACTTTAGATACATACACCTAACTCTCCCGTCAACCACCGCATAAAAGCTAAAAAATAGAAATCCACATGACAATGTACTGGGGGACCATATTGCTTAATTTTTTATGGGATCTATTCTTATTTGGATATTGGAATTCACCAATGGCACAAGCCATTGGACCGTGTTGTAAATGGAAACGGGTGGTGAAAAAGGGAAACCCACAAGGGGTCCATGTTGGCTCCATTGTGTTCATCGCAGTCTGGAGTCAACATGGGGTCAGTTTACCATTTCACAGAACAGACACACACCTGACACACCTGTCAGAGAGGACTTAGCCAGAGCACCGATTCCATAGGCATTGGAGTTCCGTTTCTTCAGCCGAGGAAGGATTGAGGTGGTGTCCTCCATGGACAACTGAAATGAAGGAAGGCATTCAAGAGAGAAAAAATGGGAGAGAAAATAGGAAAGATGAGGAAAAAGATGGTTTTGGTAGAGCAGGAGGTGCCCCGGAGCAGAAATGAAAAGCAAATTTTGAGCGTGGCATTTTAAGGACAGAAAAGAGGTGATGAGAGAGGTTAGATATAAAGTTAGCACAGTTGTTGCTGGAGATTGTGAAGCTACATTTCCCAGCAGCCTGTTTTATTTTTATTTTTGTTTAACTCTGTGAGTTAGCATGATGGGAAGTGTAGTCTTTTTTTTGTCATTTACACCCGTGAGAAAGTCTAAATACTACAGCACACAAGTCACTGCCAAACCGCAAATAAAACAAAAGAATGGGGTGTGAATTATTTGATTTCTACTGTGGTTCAGAAGAAAAATGATAAAATGAAAGCGATGGAGGAATGAGATTCACAACACTTACATTGATTCCATCCCATGAAAAGTCTGTTCGGCCATGCTGAGAGAGAGAGGAAGGAGGGATGGAGACAGAACGGGATGGGAAAAGGCAGAGTTGTAGAAAGAGAAGAAAAGAGCAAGAGACAACCACAGAGAAAGGAAGAGAGAAAGGGGAATTTTGACAGAACAAGGCATTAAAAAAACACATGAAGTTGACGGAGAAATAGAGAAAAAAAAGAAGAAAAAAAAACAGAAGAAATCAAATTGTGATATGACTATTATTGGCTAGGTTATCAGACATGTGGAATAAAGTAACACACTGGTATAATAGTTATACTAGTCACAGTTTTCCACAAGTTAAAACTGTATGAACTAGAAAGCTTTCAAGTTACAGAAGAGATCCATAAACCATTTAAACAAATGGCTTCCACACCAGTTTCTTGTTTACATTTGTAAAAGAAAACCTATGTTCTATGTGACTGTTAAGCTATTCTGAGTCGTCTCAGCAAATTTCTATGGAGTTATGGGATGCTCAATAATTCATTAATTTCATTGTTTTATTATCTGCCATTTAGAAATTTCATGTCTGATTGCTTAGAAAAGTAATAGCACATCTCTTCTCAACAAATCACAGGATTTGTTATACCATTCATGCATGTTGTATAAACAGGAAGAGTTACATGCCATCACAGCATTCATGTCCTGGAGACACCGTATGAGTGGCTGTTTTCATTTCAAATATAACAGATTCTCTATGACTGTTGGTAAATACCTGCAAAATACAGTCTATGGATGAAATTATGTTTTACAATTAATCTTGATTTTTTTTGTTTATGTATTTATTTTAATTTAATTGCACAGGTAACTTCATTTTAATTGGATGGCACAAAAATTATGTTAGCTTTAACCTTTTTTTAGGATTTTATCTAGATCAACATAATCTTTATCATTACTAATATACAGTTAATTTTTTAAAAGAAGAAATTGTGTAATGCACCCTATGATGAAAATTATGTATTTTTACAAATATAGCATGCAATATGTTGAGTTCTGATATTTCTAAGCAACTTTGATTGGCTATTGTGCCAGATTTGACGGGTCATTGGGCTAGTTATATAGCCAGGTATGATATGTACCTGAGCGAATGTTATATTACACTGTCTACAACATTATACTTACTAGCATTATTATTACTAGCATACTTTTTAGCAGTGTCAGTAATTATTAGTATTATTAGTGTCAGTAATAAAGTGATACACCATCTAAGAAGGTCCAAAGGTAGAAATCATTATTAGCAAACTGTGTTTACTAGATTTTTTTCCACAGGACCATATTGCAGTATCTTGGGGTGTTTTGTGCTGTTTATGATGTGTTATGATGTTTGTTCACTGAATGGGACTAAACATAAAACAAAATCTAAAAGAACACTTAATCAGTTCATGATCTCAAGAAAATATGCAAAATGCAATCATTTCTATCATGTTGAAATATCAAAATGTTTTAAATAATGTTTTTTTATTGGTTACATACAGTATGTGGAAATTTATCCGATATGAACCAGATCTGTAGCCTCATGCCTGCAGTGCAAGCAGGTAGATCGGATTTTCATCTTTCAATGAAATTCACGCATCATTAAAAACCGTAGCGTATTACGTCAAGTCAGTCCCAATATTTAAATCTCATACACGAGTACTAAATTTTATATTTTTTAGCTTTTTAAAACTGGCATACGTCACATGCTTAAATTATACCATGGACATTACATTAAGAAGCCTAATGGTTTAAAAAGGCCTAGATTTAAAGAAGATGGCCACATGAGAACCTTTCTGTCATAAACGATAGTAAAACAACTTGTCAAACCAGACAAGTAAAAGAATTAAAAAAAAAAAAAAACCCTGCGAACAGAAAACATTTTTCCTGATAATTGCAACTTTGCCGTGCAGTGTAAATACAGACAATCGAATATGAGTCACAGTTAACCTAGTGGAAACACTAGGAGTCAAACTTTATCACACACCAATCAAAGGTTTGAAACAATGAATCCAAAGAGGTGTAAGCGAAAAGGTCAAGGACACCAACTGGGTTTGCTGCCTAGACATATCAGTAGATGCATGTCACGGGTGGAGCAGGCATGCAGGATGATTTTACCTCCGCTGCCTAGTGCCAGTATAGCTTGTGATGTGGATGAGATTCTATGGGCTGACCCAGACCAACGACAGGATGCTGGGGTGGAATATTTTTTTATGTGTGTGTTTTATACTTTATAGTACATGAATAAATTGTGCCAGTGTATAAACATTGGCTGCGTCTTTTGTGTTCATCATGTGTAAACACAACCTCCCAGTATTGGAAATATTGTTTTTAATTTACTGCATCAGTGTGTAAGACCATGTTGTAGTGTATTTTTTTGTGAGGCCTTCTTTGTGATGTCGGACATTCTCAGCAATAGAATATTTTTGAATGTAGAGCTTCATTTTGACTTAAAACTAGGATTTTTAGGAAAAAATTGGGTGAGACGTTATGGTTTTGTGATTACTGTTTTGAGAATACAAAACATAGTTTCAAGCATGTATTTAAGCAACTGAGAAAAATTGTAATACAATCAGCTTTAGAAAATGAGAGAGGAAGCAAATCTCATTTGTATGCTTTGTGCAAAATAAAATAATCACAACCATTCATATTTAGAACAGTTTATGAAGACACAGAAAAGAGTAGAAGAAAAAGCAAGCAGTGTGCTGTATCAGTGATGATGTTAAGCGTCAATTCAGCAAAACTAAATGATAACAACTTAACAAAACTATTCAATCCAGTGCTTGTCAGCGCAAACTACATTCTCTAAACTAGGTTAATGCGCTAACAATGTCTTTCTGCGGTTAAGGAGGAGGGCTGGCTCACTGCCCTTACTTAGATAATCTCTTCCTGTTCTGGACACCTTGGTCTCCATTTTAAAACAGGATGCTGTAGGTGTGCCATATAGTGTCAAGCCTGGTGAGAAGTTTGGCTAGTGTACAATGGATGTTGAAATAAACTGCAGTTTTCTTACCTGTTCCCCATCCTTCTGGACAGGAACTCCATCTGAGGCTGTAGAGAAAAGAGATAAAAAAGAAAATTATAATAGGGTGCTTTGAGACTTAAATAGAAACATTAAAATAGGCCATATTTGTTGTGCCTGGATTGTATGAATTAGATTGTACAAATTCATGGGAGTTAGCCACTCAACAAACATTGGTTTGTTAACATAAGCTAATGCATTGTTAACATAAACTAAGAATAAACAACTATATATATATATATATATATATATATATATATATATATATATATATATATATATATATATATATATATATATATAGTTGAAGTCAGAATTATTAGCCCCCTTTTGATATTTTTTCCCTTTTTTATATTTACCAAATGATGTTTAACAGAGCAAGGAAATGTTCACAGTATGTCTGATAATATCTTTTCTTCCGGACAAAGCCTTTAAAAAAACTATTTTGGGACAAAATTATTAGCACCTTTAAGCAATTTTTTTTTTTCAATAGTCTACACAACTAACAAATAGTCTTGATGCAATAACTTGCCTAATTACCCTAACCTGCCTAGTTCACCTTATTAACCTAGTTAAGCCTTTAAATGTCACTTTAAACAATACAGAAGTGTCTTGAAAAATATCAAGTAAAATATTATTTACTGTCATCATGACAAAGATAAAATAAATCAGTTATTAGAAATAGGTTTCTAAAACTATTATGCTTAAAAAAGTGCTGAAACAGTATTCCCTCTATTAAACAGAAATTTGGGAAAAAAATAAACAGGGGTGCTAATAAGTCAGTGGGGCTAATATTTCTGACTTCAAATATATATATATATATATATTATAGGGTGTAACGATACGTGCATTCGTATTGAACCATTCGGTACGAGACTTTCGCATTACAAACCAAACAATTCGATTCAGACTAACATCTAAAAAGATAAAAGATAAAAAAGATCTAAAAAGATAAAAGGGAATACGTACAAAATATAATGTTTCCAGAGCAACAACGCTCAACATGGCATCCCAAATGACGTGGCAGACAACATGCTGCCTTTCCCGCTGTCATGTTAAAAAGTAGAGCATGGTTTTTGAACTCAGAATATCACTTTATTAAACATGCACTCATTAGCAATGTTTCTGCATTCTGTGTCATTCTGTGTCAGCCTCGTGCTGGCTCCGCCCCTGTTGCCCTGGGACCCCAAGTCCCCGACAAAAAACAGCCAATCTCAATAACCTGTTCACAAATCACCACACACCCGCCCACCTTCAAACACAACTCCAGTCACGCATGCGCTACACTAGCTCTCAAAATGGCTAGTAACGTTAATGTAATCCCAGACATCCCAAGTCTCCTGGAGGTTTCAGAAGTCTCCCGCAAATGCATCGAGACTCCCAGATGCCCGCAAACAAAAGATAATCTTCCGGAAATCGCACGTCTCCCCCGGTCCTTAAATACGTTGCACACCCCTCTTCACCGCATCCCTCCCAGCTCTTCAGGTACGTTGGGCACAACTCATTGCCTCCGCTTAGGTACATCGCACGCACACGCCTCCTCCACTCTTTAGATTCGTCGTGCACCATCACCGCCACCAAGAGAGTGGTGGAAAAAAACAATGACATCTGCTAAGAATGCTGGAACAGCATTCAGACAGGCAATTCCTACAGATTCGAACAGGGCAAAACAAATCACAGAGGCAATCGGTACATTTATAAAGTAGCTGTGGATATAAGAGACCTTAATTAGTAGAGGAAATTTCGGGTTTTAAGAAAATGTTAAATGTAATAGAGCCCCGTTACATTATTTCTTCATAAGCCCATTTCAGTAACATAATTCCTGCTTTCAGATCCACTAAAATGGCAGGTGACAGTAAAATCGAGCAGATATGTGCTGTCTGAAGAAAAGGTGGACACTCATCTTTCTGAAAATTAAAAAAAAAATACTTAAAATAGATTAAAACTGAGTTCCTTTTAAAAACTAAATTATTATTTTCTTTTTATTTGTTTGACTACAACAATATTATATTTGTTTTTTTTTATCAGCAGCTTTTGGGTTTTGAGTATAAAGAAGGATTTGTTTTATTTGCTGCTAAGCAGAAACTCCGGAAGTATAGCATAATCACTGTTTAAAGTAAAAGTAAAAGTAAAAAAAAAAAAAAAAAAAAGATCACACTTTTATGATGTAAGTTTTAATACATTAAAAAATTTAAATCAGAAATCCTCTGGCTTTTTTTTTTGTTTTTGCTATATTGAAAACATACCGAACCGTGACCACTGTGTCGTATCGAACTGAACCGTGATTTTTGTGAACCGTTACACCCCTAATATATAAATGTATATATGTATATATAGATAAATATTTATAAATAACGTTGAATCTCCATATAATCTTAGATTACGTATAGTGAAAGGTACTGGCTTGCAGTCTACTATAGTAGCATTAATACATAGGTAATATACCAAACATAAAGAAGGAGAAGGAAATTATAACACCTAAAAATTTAAAGACACACATCTGGCCCAGAGAGTAATTTAATGCAGAGCTCTGCAACCCAGTTTTTGGAGATCTACTGTGCTGCTTCTGATCCTTTTTGATTGGTTCAGTTGAGTTTAAATAAGGTTGGAGCTGAACTCTGCAGGAAGGCAGATTTTCTAGAAACAAGTTAAAGGACCTCTGTAGCAAATTAAATATGTAATTGGTGGAAAACACACATACGCACTCATACACACACACACACACACACACACACACACACACACACACACACACACACACACACACACCTAGCACACAGCTGGTAACCCTGTAATATTCTGCAATAACAGCACTCTTCACCCTTGTGGTGTATTTTTCCACTCACACCGAGAGACAAGCAGAAGAGTAAACAACTAGCTACAGTTTGATAAATATTGGGGCTGTTGGACAAGACAATGTAGGCTTTTTAGGCTTTAATAGGCTTTTTTTTTAGGCCAGAATATTGTTGTTTAAATTACAACTATAGATTACAACATTTTTTTAATTTTTTTTTGTAAAAAGGGGTAGAGGGTAGGAATAATTTCGGGCTTGACTGTAAATACAGTTGAAGTCAGAATTATGTGCCCCCCTTAGAATTAGATTATTTTTTAAATATTTCCTAACTGATGTTTAACAGAGCAAGGACATTTTCACAGTATGTCTGATAGTATTTCTTCATCTGGAGAAAGTTGTATTTGTTTTATTTCGGCTAAAATAAAAGCATTTTTGATTTTTTTTGAAAGCCATTTTTAAAAACAAAATTATTAGCCCCTTTAAGCTATTTTTTTACAATAGTCTACAGAACAAACCATCGTTACACAATAATTTGCCTAATTACCCTAACCTGCCTAGTTAATCTAATTAATCTAGTTAAGCCTTTAAATGTGACTTTAAGTTGTATAGAAGTGTCTTGAAAAATATCTAGTTAAATATAATTTACTGTCATCATGGCAAAGATAAAACAAATCAGTTATTAGAAATGAGTTATTAAAACTATTATGTTAAGAAATGTGTTGAAAAAAATCTCCTCTCCATTAAACAGAAAAATGGGGAAAAAATAAACAAGGGGCAAACAATTCTGACTTCTACTGTATATATTAGTTCAGCTCAAACCCTATTCAAATTCAGCTGAACCTACCAAAAACCAGGTTAAGAAGCTCTGCATTAAACCTTCATTGTACTAGGCCAGATGTGTATTTTTACATTTTTAGGTGTCACAATTTCCTTTTCCTTCTTTATGTTTAGTATATTGCCTATGTAGTAGTATAGCAGAAAGCAGTCTTTCACTATGTTATATAAAATAAAACATTCAATACATGAACACTTTATTTTTATTGAATGTTGATACTAATTCTAATGTTATTTAAACATTTAGACAGCATATTACAACAACACATTCAACAAAGAGCACTGAATAACAGTCAAGGTCTTTATTCTGCAAAAACAACCATCCTGAATGAAGCATATCTACATATATTTCATTCAAAAGACAGCATCAAACAAAAAACAGCAGTGTGACAGACAAGTAGATAAATTTGAAGTTCCCGGATTAGCCTTTGTTTTTCAGCAATAGTTGTTTTATTACAAGGCTGTCTGCAATACTGGTCAGTCGTGACATTCCAAGGTATGTTATGTAAGGGATAAAGTACATCCAAAAGGCTTATTGGCTGAAGGTTTGTAAAAAAACAAAAACTCTTGGATGTGAATGTAAGTATATGAAGGTGCATGGATGGAGTTGTGGCGAGGTCCCTGGCTGCTGTGAAAGTACAGCTCTTACTGCAGAATCGGAGGCATCTACCTCCACAACAAAAGGCTTTTGGGGGATCTGGAAGTACTTTGAGTGGAACTGTCTATGACTGTTGTGGGAACTGGCAAGTTCTTTACAGCATCCACTTCCCCCAAACTGTATGGATGACTGATAAAACATACATTTGTCTGCCTTGAGATACAAGTGATAATCACGGAGATGTTGGAGGACCTCAGAAACTTGTCGATGTTCTGCCTTGTTCCAGGAGTAGATCAGAATGACATTGATGTAGATGAGCACGGAGCATGAGAGATACTCCTAGAACATCTCATTCATGAATTCCTAGAATACAGAGGGGGCTTCTGTTGGTCGATGGCACAGTCCCATGATCTTAGAAGTGGAAGTTGTAAGACTCGTTTCAGGTAAAAAACATCACAAAGGTGAGAGTATTTAGGAGGAATTTCAACAGAACGACTATCAAGAGGACTTTTTAAGGACGTGGAGTTCAAGAAGATCCTCGAAGCAGGAGATGAGGATTCAGAAAGATATAGGAAACATTCAGCAAAGTTGTTTTCACTCCACTTCAGGACTTTCCAGTAGCCTAGCCGATGGGAGACTATGGGAAACGAGCCATGGGAACCTAGTACTATCCCAGAGGCTAAATCCTCCCATTGTAGCGCTCAATCTGTCAACAGAGTTATAATAAATGCAATTTTAGACCTATCAGAGGGAAATCGATGCTGTTGTATCTCCAGGGCTACTGAACGTTGTAAAATGAAACC